ATGACGGTCTAGCTCTAAGGGATCGAACCTTGGGGGCTCAGAGGAATTACTCATTAGGTGCAGCACGAATTGCATGCGTTTTCCTCCTCCTGCTGCTGCTGCTGCTGCTGCTGCACCTGCATGTGCTGCTAATGCTGATGATGCTGATCTACATACACCAGGTAATGTTGCATAATTCATGCTGCTGCTGCTGCTGCTGCTGCTGCTGGTGCTGCTGCTGCTGCTGCGACAACCCATGATAGTAGTATTTTTATAACCGGCTATACCTGCTGCTGCTGCTACTGCTGCTGCAGTTGGATTACCTGTTGCTGCTGCATGTAGTATAAATAATTTATTTAATTCATCAGTAATAATTGCATGCAGCTGCTGCAGCTGATCATCACGACTACGTTTTATGTCTAATATAGGGGGGATTGTTAGATAAGGAAACTCTAAGAAATTACGATACTTAAATTGTATAGGATGATATACTTTTACCCTATACATAACAGCAGCAGCAGCAGCAGCAGCAGCAGCAGCAGCAGCAGTAGCAGTAGCAGTAGCAGTAGCAGCAGTAGCAGCAGTAACAGCAGGCGGTGGAAGGGATGTATGTCATTGTAAGGTGACAAAAAGGAAACAAAAAGGAGACAAAAAGGAGACAAAAAAAGGAGACAAAAAAAGGAGACAAAAAAAGGAGACAAAAAAAGGAGACATAAAAGGAGACAAAAAAAGGAGACAAAAAAGGAGACAAAAAAAGGAGACAAAAAAAGGAGACATAAAAGGAGACATAAAAGAAGAGAGCCAAAGGAGACACAAAAAGGAGACACAAAAAGGAGACAACAAGGAGACAACAAGGAGACAAAAAAAAGGAGACAAACAAAAAGGAGACAAAAAAGAGGAGTCAAAAGAAAGGAGACAAAAAGGAGACAAAAAAATGGAGACAAAAAAAGGAGACAAAAAAAAGGAGACAAAAAAAGGAGGCAAAAAAAAGGAGACAAAAAAAAAGCTTACCTAACAGTTTTCTCTAATGCATTACGTATAGAAGTTCTTAATCTTTTTAATTGTTCTTCTATACGGCAACGAGTTAGTATTTGAGGGTTTACCTACATAAATAAATAAATAAATAAATTAATTAATTAATTAATTAATTAATTAATTAATTAATTAATTTAATTAATTAATTAATTAAATAGAGACAGAGAGAAGCAGCAGAGGCAGAAGTAACAGAGAAATAGCAGCAGCAGCAGGAATAACAGTAGTAATAGCAGCAGCAACAGCTATAGCAACAGCAGCAGCAGCAACAACAACAGCAGCAGCAGCAGCAGCAGCAGCTAACCTTGAGAGGGCTACAATCAGCAAGTATCTCTGGTGCAAGAGCCTTATTAACATAAACAAGAATATATGCATTATAGGGTTTATTACGTGTACGTGGCTTCCTCTCTCCTGTGTATACACCATAAACCCTAAACCCTAAACCCTAAACCCTAAACCCTAAATTATAGATAATTGATAGAAGCAAGAACAATTGCATAATAATAAAAGAGGAGCAGCAAACACTAACACAGGAGACACTTCATCAGTAAAAAAGAGACAGATGCTGCAGCAACAGCAGCAAAAGGAGACACAGCAGCAGCAGCAGCAGCAGCACGAGAATAAATCCCTAACAAGACGAATAAGAGAGCAAAAAGACCGCAAAACAACGCATGCATCATGAGGAGAAGGAAAAGGAGACAAACAAACATAAAGAACAGAAAGAAGAGGAGAAAGACAAAGGAGACAAGAAGAAAAAAAAAGGAGACAATTATTTTTTTTTTTTTTTTCTTACCCCTAAGATAATTATAACACTCTAATTCTTCACCACCAAAATTATCGCCAATTGCCGCATATTCACTCACATGGTATACCTTCTCGTCATCAAATCGGACCCTATACACCAGCAGCAGCAGCAGCAGCAGCAGCAGCAGCAGCAGCAGCAGTAGCAGCAGCAGCAGTAGCAGTAGCAGCAGTAGTAATAGTAGTAGTAGTAGTAGGAGGAGGAGGAGAAGAAGAGGGAGGTGGTGAGGGAGGGAAGGGGAAGATTAATGGAAAAAAAGAGACAAAGAGGAAGAAAAAGGGAGAAGACAAGAAAGGAGACAAAAGGATACAACTAAGTTAATAAAAAGAGACACAGTCAGTCTATACTCCCATGGATCCACCACCCTTAAACCCTAAACCCTAATAAACCCTAATAAACCCTAATAAACCCTTACCATTGATTTCCTGGTGAAGGTTTAATAAAAGAGTAATAATGACCTGAATTAACATCTCCCTGGTGTACAGACACTGAATGTAGTGTATACACCCCAGCACCTTCACAGAATTCATTTAAATCTAATTCCTTCTCAAACTCATACCTATAAACAAAAAAAAAAAAAAAAAAAAAAAAACCC